TCACTACCCTTCTTGGTTTTCTCGAACAATTCGCCCAGAACACTCTGCTTGTTGATTTCGCTCGCTTTCAGAAGTGGTAATTCTTCTGAAAAAAAAACCCTCTCAATACTGGGCTTTTTCAGGCTTAATACACCTGCACACAATTAATACAACAACAAATGCAGCATCCGACAAAGGAAACACCCCAAATTTTGTGTTTCTAACCAAAATCATTCGTAAACGATGGATGTCGCAGCCAATTGTCCCTAATCTTTGTTCTGCATTTGCGCTAGTTTTTCAACGTTTCAGTACCACATTCATCCGATTTTTTTTTTAAATTCATTAATATTTTTCAATTTTTCACAAGATGTTTTGGGCCTTCAGTAAATTTTTCTCATTTTTATGCGTTTTGTGCTGTGTAACGGTAGTGAAGAACGCATATTTTCACGGGATTGTCTATGTTTATGTCCCACATTTTGCCCCGCACTTTCAACTCGGGAACCACAAAAGCTAGGCGGCTGAAATTTTAGTAGAGTGTTCCCCGTCAATGGGTGGCGCGGCAAATTTAAATTCAGCCTTCCCGTATCAGCCGGTAACACATGCGGCCCCATAAAAATTTTTCGGGTAAAATCAGTATTTGGAGAACCATGGAAGCTAGAAAGCTAAAATGTTATGTCCCCTGACAACGTACGACCCAGAAACCTCAAATTCAACCCTCCTGTACCAGCGGGTAACACGTGCCGCATATAAGTTGTTGGGGTAAAATCATTATCTCGGGAACCACAGAAGCTGGGAAGTTGAAATTTTATGGGTATGCCCTCTACCAACGTGCGATTCAGACAGCTTAAACTCAACTTTCCCATGCCTGCGGGTAACACGCACGCCCTCGTAAATTTTTAGCTGGTAAAACCATTATCTCAGGGACCGCAGAGGTCTAGGGAGCTGAAATTTGCTCCTTGACCAAGTGTAGTTCCGAAAATTTAAATTCAGTTTTCCCGTGCACTTGGGTAACGCGTACGGCCCCGTGAAAGTTTTAGCAGAAAATTATCTCGAGAGCCATGAAAGCTAGGAAACTGAAACTTCACGACGATATTTTCTGTCTCAGCAGGTATTTCACAACCTCATTATAGCTCCCAGGTATGCAGAGGTCTTACGTAAGACCATGTGTGAATTGTGATGTGGAAGTCGCTAGCTCGGAAGCCGAAAAATTACAAGGTTGAAATTTGGAGGGATGTCTCCCCTCCATTTTTTCAAATCCAGATTTCACGTGCCGGCAAGTGAATTTTCAGTGGGAAATTCTTCACCTTAGGAGCCAGACAGCATACCTATTGTTTTCCCATATACAAAAGTGTAAAACAGTTATATTTTCAGTAAGCAAACGTCCGCTGAACGGAACTGCGCAAAACGCATGATCGCACTGGCTACCCTCGAGCACTTCGCTATTTATTTTGTTTGTTTTTATCGATGTTTTTGAGAGTTTCTGTTACAAGCAAAAGCGAAAAAAGGGATGCTATTAGTCACAGCTCCTCACAGCTTCTCTAGGCAGCAAATAACAGTCGATTAAAGTAAAATAATCAATGCATTATTGTTTCTTCAAAAATGATTAATCTCGTGTTATTAATTTTTCTCGTTTTTTTCGATATTAAACCATCGAAAGATATTTATCCAGTGAACCTCAAATAGCCTTTCGCTCGGCAGCTGCCATGGTTTTGCTTAAGTACTCGTTAAATTTCATAGTCAAAATGACGAATGGTACCTGACAGCTGACGCTCTTCTCTTAGCAGGCCATTCTTTTTCAGTATTTCAAGTGCTGCTTTGTATGCATCTCGCATATCCTTTTTTGCACCAGCCGGCAACTGTAAATCATTCTTTGTGTTTTTGCTGCCTGTAGCAGAACATCTTAAAACTAACACATCGCGTGAGGTCAAAAAGGTGCAACTGAACAAACCGGTTCGCTGCCGGTGAGGAGGCGAAGTTTGTGTGGCGGGCAGTTGAACACTGATGATTTCGCATTTGGGTCCTCGCTTATTGGTAGGAACGTGAACGTGACTTTCTTTGGATAAACGCAGCGAACCTAAATTTAGCATACACACATACATTAGCAAAACAATCCTCTCAAACAATCGAATTCCTCTTTGTTAAAGAATCGTTGTAACAAAAATAGCCTTCCTCGATTCACGGATCAGACGATTTTTTCGATTTTTAACAAACTGAAGTGGTCAAACAATATTTTGCATTTCCGAAGCTTGTCAACTCAGAATTTCATGATATTTAGAAGATTGCTTGCTTATTTCAAGTAAAACAAACACATACCAGTGCAGGCCATTCAGGAAAGCGTCTGTACGGTGCCCACACCACATCGCCCGTTTTCAAATCACCTGAACAAAATCAATGATTTTTTTTTTCCAATACTCATAAATCGCTCATAGAAATGGCATAATTTAAGACAACTTTTAGATTTTATTAAGCGACTTTGCCAGTTTGTTGCACCACTTGTATCTGTGGAAGTAGTACCACTACCCAGATGTTTAATAAATGGGCCATTGTTCCTACCCCTCAGTTACTAGCCTTTTCCTTTTGCCTACAGGGCTGTTACGGCCCGTACTGTCTTTCACTTTAACAAAAAATGACGCGTCTTCTGAAGTGCGCGAAGCATCATCATGTCCAAATACACCCTTACACCATAAGCAATCATGCAAACACACCCTCTACAGCAAATAGAACATGAAGAGAAACAAACACCAAATTCGCAGGCTCATATCTTCCTCTATTCTCCGTTTATCCCTCTCCCTCACCCTCGTCTTTTCCCTTCTTTTGCCTCAGTCCTCAGTGGGTCCTTTTGTACACAGTTTTCCTATGCATTTGATTATAATTCAATTTTTGGCTCATTTCCAATTATGATCTTCACATTTAGTTCTAGTTAAGACAGGCGATCAACAGTTTGCAAACTTATAAGTTAGTAATTCTGGACAATAGCCCCTGCTTAGCTTACAAGCTCACCTTCCTTTTATTCCCTTCCTTTTAAACCTTTACTTTTTACATAAATACACATCATTTAAAATTAAAATTACAATTATAAGTCATGAGTAGTTCCAGTCAAAAGCTTACAAGTTGGTGCGACGCTCTTCGTCGATCGACGTCCCATGCTGTTACTGCGAATAGCACGTGCAAAGGAAACGAAAAAACTTCCAGAACTGCTTCAAAGTGAGCACCTGCAAATAT